CGCGCCATGTGGGACCCTCCTCCAGTGGCCGGGGAGCAGCCGGGAATCGAACCGGCGCTGCAGAGGCTGCAGGCAGCTTGGCAACCCAGCGCTCAACCGCTGCGCCACTGGGGAGGCCCTGTATTTCATTTTTAAAAGGGGGGCTGCTGTACCCCACAAATGAGACATCAATGAGGATACACAATTAAATCCCATGAGCATTACTGAAGGCTTTCACTGTGTTTGATATCACAAAGAAAGGCATTAAGAATTTAGTAAATCAAAGCTGATACAGTTCCATCTAGTCCATAAGGCAAGATGGTGCAAGAAGTCATTTAAATTATGGGCCTCCCCGTTGGCGCAGCGGTTGAGCGCTGGGTTGCGAAGCTGCCTGCAGCCTCTGCAGTGCCAGTTCGATCCCCGGCCACCAGGTGAGAGTCCCACATGGCGCAGACCTCTCCTGCTGCCCGCTGCTCCCCTCAGCGGTGTACTTCGTCAGTTGCCTGCTCTGCTCTCCGCTCTGACTCTGGTGAATTCTCTCGCCCTTCTGTGCTTCTGACTGTATCCAGTGCTTGTATAAATAAATAAATCTTAAAAAAAAAAAAAGAAGGCATTTAAATTAAAGGTGCCCTATCCTACTGAAATAGCTAGCAGATATGGAAAACACCACAGTGATGAATCCACAGAGCTTTCTTCATGTAGTTATCAAATATGAGTGGCACATTGTCAAACGTTGGAAGGGGATGCCACATGGGCCACTCTTTTTTTTTTAGGGGCAAATGCTAGGTTCAACTATCTTAATTAAGTAGGAAGTGTGCTCTTCTGCTGGGAATGCCAACCCTAACTCACTTTGTCTTGAAATATATATGGGTTGTCTGTAGTAGCTACAGTGATGATGATTTTCTCGGGATGTTAGGCGGTATGCCAGACTTCCTTGCAGTTCAGGCTGTCATCACTTATTATTGCATCATTCTTTTGCTTGCCACCTGCTCAGACTTTGGGCGGCTTCAGAATCATGCGAGGTTTATCATTTTCTGGAGATGCTTCTAGGTTATGTTTCACATTGGGTATTTGCCAAACATGCTTAATTAATTATTGTATGGGGCCTCCCTGGTGGCACAAGGGGTTGAGCACAGCACTGTGAAGCTATACACAGCTCTGCAGCACGAGTTCGGCCAGGGAGCTACCCACATGGCACAGCAGACTTTTCCTGACTCACCCGCTGCTCCTCTCAGCAGTTTATTTCAGTAGATCCTCCTGTTCTGCTCTCCCTTTGTCTCTGGTGAATCCTCTCACCCCCACACCTCTGGCCTGTACCCTAGTTCTTGCATGCATAAATAAATCTTTAAAAAAAAGAAATTATTGTATGATCCAATCATGACAACACTATCAGGTCTATTCCAACAATGTTTAAATTTGGCAAATATGCAGAACCTCATCCCTGTTCCTCTGAAAGTAGATCTGGAAGGTGGTCTCCTGGGTCCCTCTACTTGGAGGCTGACTTTTTAAGGGAATGCTTCTAACACGCACCATAAGGGATAATATTTGCTATAGACTTTTTTCCTAGTAATTACTATTTAACTGTTTATATGCTATGCATCTGATAAGTGTTTTTGAATTGCTATTTTGCAAGATAAACTCCCTTGCTTTTAATCCAGGGATCAGTTTTTTAGCAGACTCACACCTTTATTACATTGAATCACACTATTCATGAATAAGATAAAGCTTTCCATTTACCAAGGTCATTATTATTTCCAATAATATATTTAGTTTGTTTATTTCTGTTAATGTCTGGCATATCATTTGTTAGAATTATTTCTCTATGTTATCTATTTTGATGTAATTACATATTGCAAGTCTTCTTTCTTTCTTTTTTTTTTTTTTTTTTGTGGCTGTTTCTTCTCTTAGGCTTGCTACTTTCTCACAGGTTCTGCTATGTATTTGAGCAAATGTTTATGTTTCATTGAGCATCTCAGTGTGTGTTACAGCCAGAGTTTCTTTCGAGATAATCCAGTATAGGGCTTCTCAATTTTGGCACTGTTGGTGTTTTGAGCTGGATAATTCTTTGTTGTGGGGAACATGTATTCTGGGGTGTTTAGAAGCACCCCTTGTTTCTCTCAGCCAGATGCCAATGGCAACACGTTGTTAGACAGACAAAAGTATCTCCAGATACTGTCGAATGTCCCATGGGAGGCAAAATCACCCCTGATTATAAACCATTAATTTGACATATCACATTGCAGAGACTTCCCTTATCTTCTAGAATGTTTTAAAATACTTATTTTAAACTTTCAGATGTAGGTTCCTCGGTTGTGAGTTTTATTATTTTGCCTATCACTGTCATGGTTACTTTTATTTTCATGTGTGGTTAATTTTAAACATGAGTCAACTCCTACATAAAAAGCACATCTGTGCCCTGGGTGTGAAATGACCTTATGGGGTAGTTTTGAGTTTCCTTCTAAAGAACCTTATGGGCTTCCTTAGTCTGAGCAATTTTTTTATTTCTTGGTTTGTGCTTAAAAGAAACAAAGTAGTGATTATTTGGTTCCTAACCCTACTACTCCCTTCCATGCTCCCCTTTCTCTCATGCTCTCCCCTTTCTAGCACCTCTAGCCACAGTTCACTGCCCCCCAAAACCCCTATCATACACACAATGGTATTTTGGCTGGCCTGGCTCAGCATGGGATCTGTAGTTTTCCTTTTGGTATTTTCTCTGAACATGCCAGATGCTACCACTGAGTAATGTGGATTTTGCTGCCAAACTCTACCTCCATTAGTACAGAGGGAAGAGAGCGAGCCAGTTCTCTTGCTGAGTGCTTGTGACTGGCAGAAAGCAGGCTTGGGTGTAATAGTTGGTAGATGGTTTTTAAAAATCATTACATAATTTTATTAATTTTTGGTGACATTGTTATATCATTGACGTTTATGAATTATAAAGCTAGATTACTGTTTTTAAAAATAGGGAACTAAACATTTAATGGCGTGACTAGAAAAAGAACTGCGGTGCAGGCACCCCCCTGCTCCCTTGCAGGGTATTTCAATAAATCCTCTTTTTCTGTTCCAAAAAACTCCAAACAAATGAAAAAAGAAAAAGAACCAGACACTATTGGTTAGGTTAAAGTACTGTATGTTTATAAAGGCAACATAGAATTAGGCTTTCCAGAACACATAAAATAAGTATTCAGTTTTCAGATTAAAAAAAAAAAAGAAACTCGTCTCTGAGGCAGTTTTTCTACTTTTATTGAGCAATCATTTAGTTAGTTTCATTGAGAAGACTTGATGCGAAAGGTATAGCTTAATAGTCTACTTTAAAATATTTTAAATTGAAAAAATTAAAAGTAAATGTAATTTTGTTACCTTCAGTCACTAAAGTACTCATTAAGATTTTCACTGATGGGATCTAGGAAAAAAATCTTCCTTTAAGAAATAGAGGAACGAGGGGCCTCCCTGGTGGTGCAAGTTTAAGCACTGCACTATGAAGCACTCTGCAGCTTCTGCAGCACGAGTTCAATCCCTGGCCAGCCAGGGAGCAACCCACATGGCGCAGCAGACCTCTCCTGACTCTCCCGCTGCTCCCTTCAGCAGTGTATTTCAGTCAGTCTGCCTGTTCTGCTCCCCACTCTGTCTCTGGTGAATCCTCTCACCCTCCACATCTCTGTCCTATACCCCAGCTCTTGTATGCATAAATAAATAAATCTTAAAAAAAAAAAAAAGAAATAGAGGAACGAATTCTCGTTGACAGCAAGAACTATTTAATATCCCAAATATCCCTTTTTGCTTTTACTGACAGGAAGCTCGGGAGCAAATTCGCAGTTCAGGCCTTTCTGGCCTGCATATTTGTATTGTACTCTCTAACCCTCTGTCTTGTTTTGATTGTCTAACCTAATTTACCCCCCTTGTTCTCATATAAAATTTTTCTACTGTGTGTTTATCATATGTAAGATGTTTAAAATCTTTTGTGTGCTGAGGTTGTATATTAATAAATGAAATAGATTCAGTGTTCCTTTCACTATGTATAGCTGGATAGATATAAATACACTTGTACACAAATAAATAGGTAGCAACACTTAGCAACTTACAGGTGGGTCATGTTTCTAATTATTTCTTGCTAAGATTAGCTTTTAACCTGAAATGTTCTCTGACATAAACAGACAAGGTACTCTTCCAGAACACGAGATTTTTAACATAAAGCATAGCTATGAAACTTTCAAGTAGATGGTGACTGTCATTTGCAACTTAAATTTTGAAAGAAAATGTTCGAGTTCCAATGGAAGAAGTTATCCACAGCACCTCCCCACCACTCCTATCTGGGTTCCGTCACAGGGACCCAGATTTCCTGATGCCTCTTTCCTTCCACTGACACCATCGGGAACTCCTGTGATGATTGTTGCCCTCAGACTGCCTCCTGAGAGGCAGGGACCTCTGGACTCAGGGTCTGATTTGGAGATCACCACTCAACAAGGCCTTTGTTTCACTCTGGTGGCCAGTCCTATGAGCATGCCTGACAAAGCTGTGAAAAGGTCCCTGGACTTTGGGAGAGGAAGGGACAGAAACCTCCTGTCATTTCTGATACCTCGCACAAGGTCCCTTTGCTAAGATCTGCATTTCTTCAAGGCTACCAGGGGAAAGGCCCTGAGTGGGAGTTAACCCCTCTGACATCTTTCTCTATCTAGTCAGCTGTTTAGTCATTTGGACATTTTCCTCCCCCGAGTTCACTCATTTACCACTTGATCTACCTAGTTATGATTTTCCCCTTACCATACTTTACATTTTGACCAATTCTGATAAAGCATGTGGGATTTTTTGGAGATAATTTGTATTTGGTTTCATTTCCTTTAAAATGTAGGTATTCTTTGTCTTGGTTGGTGAATTAGTTGCTTTGTCTGCTGATTCTCTCTGTCTGTAGATTTAATAGTAGGAACTTAACCTACTAATTTGGATATGAGACGAGCCTATCGTTTGGATTTTAGGCATTAGTTACTCTGATAAGAGGATTTTAAAAAGTACCCTTTTAACCACAGAACTGACACATTCTACTTTGGAAAGAATTCTAAAAGAAATGAAGACAGCCAGCAGCAATGAAATTGGTAGCCTCATCACCTTCTGTTGACTGGACTGGAGTTTTATTCCTGCAATTCCTGGGAATGACACTGCCCAGGATGTCTGCGGAGGTCATCCATCAGGTTGAAGAGGCACTTGATGAAGATGAGAAGGAGATGCTACTTTTTTTGTGCCGTGATGTTGCTACAGACGCAGCGCCACCGAATGTCAGGGACCTTCTGGATATTTTAAGTGAGAGGGGCAAACTATCTGTGGTGGACTTGGCCGAGCTTCTCTACAGAGTGAGACGTTTTGACTTGCTTAAGCGGATCTTGAAGATGGACAAAAAGGCAGTGGAGGCCCACCTGCTCAGACACCCCCATCTCATTTCGGACTACAGGTAATTCTGGTTTTAGTAATTCACAGGTAATTCTTGAGGCTAGACCAGTGGGAAGGAGTGAGATGGTCCAGACTTCTGAACAATAGAAATGAGCATAGGAAAGAAAAGCAGCACTTTTGCCTTCTCTATCCCCTGATCCACCTCCAATGTGATGTTACTTCCTTCCTTTGAACTCTGGATTCCAACTTCGTGCTTGCTTAAAATAACTGGATAGATCATAATAAAAGTAGAAGGATGGATGGTGTGTGCATGTGCAATGAACAGAAAAAGAGAGGGGTGACTAAGAGCTAGTAATTTTTGCCGGCCTTTGTGAGATCTGCAGTGGTCTTTGCTGTTCTGTGATGTCAAGCCCTGCAAATTTCGGTACTGAGAAAGGAAATAACAAGTCTGATAGTGATCTTCCTGAGGTCTTTGTAGAATTCTGTGATCCCTTCTGCATCCTTGTATGTCTTTCCCCTCTGAGGAAATAAATGGGGTAGACGCCCTCTCTTTGAGTTTTTTGTGCCCCTCACCCTGCTTGCCGGGATCCCAGACTGAACATCTATTAACGACTTTTAGGTTCCCTTTAGTTGAGAGAGAAATGGCTGCTGGAGTCCCCTTTAGTTCAGATAACAGAATAACACAGTCTTCTTCCTCCAGTATTCTCCTGGAGCACAAGCCACCCTCAGTCTTACTGAGGAAAGAAGAGAATTTGGAACCTTAAATTAGAGGTTCTTTTTCTCTACACCACAGCCTTTAGTTATATTGATAATGTCTATTTGGAGATGATGTGTATTGTTAAGAACTATATTAATGACAGTTAAAAGCAGTGTGGACCTAGGTAAGGGTTTGAAACTTGGGGTCTGTAGGCCTCAGAACCACCAGTTACAGGCCTCATACGTAGACTGAACTGATTACTAAACTTTGGTTGGGTCTTCATTATCCTGCTTGTAAAGCTAAGAGTAATAGTAACTGATTTCACAAGTTTGTTTGTTGAGGATCCATTGTGAAAATTTAATATGCAAAATATTTTTGAAAACTGAAGCACTCTACAAATACAAGGGATATTATTATTCTTGATCATCATCCACCTCTCTAACCAACCATCATATAAAGTCAGTCATCTTAAAACTTCTGGCAAGGCACTGACTGGATTTCAGGACTACGTTAGGGCACTCTGTCCACTTCCAGTCTCCTTGTGATGGTGAGTAGAGGCAGTTCCTCAGGGCCTCAGGGAAGAGGCTGGGCAGTGGGAATGGGGTTCTAGATTCACCTGTTCAGTGGGCTTTGTGGTGGGTTGACATAGGCCGTGTGTTTGATAAACAGTGGAGCAAAATGAATAAAAAATCTTCCATCCTCCAGAATCTGAGAGTCTAATTGGGAAATCAGCCTGCTGAACAGTGATGAAATGTCGAGAGTAATGCGAACCATGACTGGAGTCCCTGGAGTGCCCTGATAAAGCATGATGGTAGCTCCAACTGGGACAGAGGTGACTGAATCAGTAGGGGCTTTGTACCCAAAGATATTCACAGTCACAAACCGCAGGATGCCCTTTATCCTTTGAGTTAGAGAGGGGCCAGGATACCCCAGGTGTTACTGTGCTTTAGAATCTTCTGAATCAAAGTAGGGTCCTTGGACCAGCAGCATCAACATCTCCTGGGAACTTGCTAAACAGAGAAGATAAGATTACTTTGCATTCTATTTCTGATCTTTTTAGTCATTTAGGTTCTTCATTTCTTTCATTATAACTTCAGGGGAAGCTAGGGGATTCTTTAGGGACGTTTTCATTGTCTGAGTTGTTTTCGGAGCAGTTAATTGGAAAGAAAGGTAATGTCTCCTGTTGAAAATTGGGGAAAGGATGAGTTTCCTTAAGATCTCTTCCTGGGGCCTCCCCTGGTGGCGCAGTGGTTGAGCACTGGATTGCGAGGCTGCCCACAGCCTCTGCAGCGCCAGTTCGATCCCCGGCCACCGAGGGTCCCACAAAAAAAGAAAGAAAGAAAGAAAGGATTAAATAAAAAAAAAAAGAAAAGAAAAAAGATCTCTTCCTGTGGGTCCTCCCCGGTGGCCTAGCGGTTAAGTCTCAGCGCTCTCACCACCACAGCGTAGGTTTGATCTGCGGGGGAGCTAGCCCACATAGGGTGCAACATATCTCTCCGGTCTCTCCTGCTGCTCCCCTCAGCAGTGTATTTCAGTAAGTCTGCCCGTTCTGCTCCCCACTCTGTCTCTGGTGGGTCCTCTCACCCCCTATACCTCTGGCCTACACCCCAGTTCTTCTATGCAATAAATGAATCAATAAATCTCTTTAAAAAATATTTTTGTTCTTTCTGTCTTATGATGGGGGGGACATATTCAAATGGGGCAAGAACTAGTCTTTTCACTAATTATTAGCAGAGAGGAGGGCTCTTGGTGTTCTCACTAGGCCTGCTATCTGAAATTCCTGAAGAAACTTGTCTTGTTTACAGGGTGCTGATGACAGAAATTGGTGATAATTTGGATAAATCTGATGTGTCCTCATTAATTTTCCTCATGAGGGATTATATGGGCCGGGGCAAGACAGCCAAGGATAAGGTGAGTTTTTTTTTTCTTTCTTGGTTCATGTTTCCAAAAGTCTATCAGAAGTTGGGGGATGCTTCCTACTATATGGAGGGAGGGGAGCCTTTGAGCAAGGAGGTCCAACCTGGGGATCAAGGCAGGAAGTGAGAAGAGTACAGGTTTTTTCGTGTCATTGATGGGAAAAGAATTGGTTTATGAACTGAGAAGAAATAGGGTGATGTCTTCTGGTGTGGCCTTGGGTGTGTCTTTCCTCCTCATATTTATCCTTCATTTGTGTAAAATTCATAGACGTGGCTTATATTAATTTCCCTTCCTGGTTTGACAGATCCTCTGGGCAGGTTAGGAAGTCCCTTCTGCTGGTGCTGAGTGGAAAAAGTGCTAGTCCACTCTCACCTTGCTCTCCTGCTGCTACCTCTTTGTCCTTAGCTAATTCAAGGTCATGTGGAGCCATTAGGCTGCCCATGGGAAAGATTCTTATGACCTATCTATCTGAGGGGTGGCAAAAGCAGAGATTTGGGGTTGAAAATTAGGTAGGGGAGAGGATCTGAGGGATGCTACGATTGCTGGAAAAGGACCTAAATTCCAGCTGATTCTATACAACTGCAAAATGAGAAAGAAGGGCCTCCCCAGTGGCGCAGCGGTTGAGCCCTGGCTTGCGAAGCTGCCTGCAGCCTCTGCGGTACCGGTTCGATCCCTGGCCACAGGGCAAGGGTCCCACATGGCGCGCAGACCTCTCCTGCTGCCCGCTGCTCCCCTCAGCAGTGTACTTCGTCTCTCTGCCTGTTCTACTTTCCGCTCTAGCTCTGGTGAATTCTATCACCCTCCCATGCTTCTGACTGTACCCAGTGCTTGTATAAATCAATCAATCAATCAATCAATCAATCAATCTTTAAAAAAAAAGAGAAGGAAAATGAAATAGCAACTTTTTTTTTTGGTATCTTCTAATCAGCTATCTCCTGATTACTTATATAGATTTAATTATGATTCTTATTTAAGAAAATAAAGATAGCACTTCAGTAACCAGCTGTTACACAGAGGGGAAAATAAAAGCAAAGCCAAGCCGGCATCTGAACACAGTTCTTTCACATCCCTGGTGTAGGGTCAGGAATGACACAGGGCAGGTTTTCTAGGATCCCATGCAGACCAGGTAAAGGAGGAGTCAGAGTCCTCAGTGGCTTTTGCAGGTTTTTTATTGGGATTACCAGGCACACGGTAATCAGGGGCACTGAGGGGACCGGGAGGCTGGCAGGCCACCCAGCCCCCAGCAAATCCTCACTCTATCTGGGCTCTCCGGTGATCTCGGCTTCTCTTTTGGCTTCTCCTCGGCTTCTGCTGGCGTCCCCATGACGCCGCCCTTAAAAAGCCCAGTCTCAGCCCAGGTGAATCCCATCTACCTATGCCCACACCCTACTCCAGGTGCCCGACATCAGGCATGCATTCAGGACCACAAGGATCCATCATCTATCCTGATGGCGGGAGGGCAGAAAAGCCTGACATTTTTCCTTACCCTACACCTGGGTTCCAGGGTGAGTGAGTAGTTGAGTTGCCACCCAACCCCCTCAGTCAGGATGAGTTAGAATGTCCAGCATGAAAACTATTTTAGGAATTTCAAAACCACCATTGGGATTTTTTTTAGTAGAAACTACCCTCCAGCCATTTTCTCTCTTCCTTTTTTTAGGAAAGTCCTGAGAGTTTTTCAGTGTAACACCAGTCTGGCTTTTTTGAAAGAGAATGAGTGCAGGATGATTTTATTTTTAGGCCTGCTCTCCCACAGCACCGCTGATGACACAAAAGAGTTCACATGCTCTTCCCAACCTAGGCTCAGCTTGCCCACCAAAACTCATCACTGCCTCTTTTCTGAGTAAAATCCCAGAGTGTAATTTGCTGTTGGCCTTGGAGGAACTGTGACACAGGTTCAGTCACTAACTCCTTGTCATATTTTCTTACTGATATAAATCACATGGTCAGAGGTTTGCACTTGTGGCTTAGTAGTCAGCCTGCTAACATTTGTTTCTTTTTGGTGGGTCTCTTAGAGTTTCTTGGATCTTGTGATTGAAATGGAGAAACTGAACCTACTTGCTCCAGATCAATTGGACTTACTGGAAAAATGTTTAAAGAACATCCACAGAATAGACCTCAAGACAAAGATCCAGAATTACAAACAGTCTGGTAAGAAGAATATTGACCTCTCAGTGGCCTAAGAAAAGTACTCTGTGTATAGTAAGTCGGCTAGGTAAAGATTCATTTGTTGAATGGCTGGATGGAAGCCCCCCACTAGCCTATGCTAAGGGATTGTACCCTTATGCCCCAGATCTACTGACTTTATCATCCCACCCCCATGATGGTCATCTTAGCCCTTTGCAAAATGCCACCAAGGCAGATCTTAAAATTCTGTCTTCGAGAAAGAGTCTGCACCCCCACTTTCTGCACAGGGCACACAGTAGACATTCAGGGTTTTTGCATCTATGCCGAACTCTGCTGGCTTGTTCCAGTGTTTGGCCTTCCCGCCACCCAACTCTGAGTTGGAGCTTTTACGGGGGTCCCATTACTGCCATGCATGTGTCCTGAGTGTCACAAAACCTCATGGAAAAGACCTTCTTTCCAGCTGATACCCCTTCCAAAGTGGATAGACTCCATATTGGCCTTTCTCAGGCCACACACCCCTTTGTCTTCTAGACCTGGCTCTATTAGCAGTCCACTGCCACCAAAGAGTCACCGCTGAAGGGCTTGGCTGTGATCCAGTGATCTAAAGACACCTCTCCCTACCCTCTTGAGTGACTAATGAAAGATCAAGAATAGGAGTAGCATTTTTAGCCCATTAATCATGTTGATGGAAGAGTCAGCTGATTTGATAATATTTAATTTAGTAAGCTGGCTGGGAAGTTTTAGGGTATTTTGAAAGATAGTGATTGACCTTGAACTGAGACATTGTTGAAGATTCGTTTGATGTTAATTTGTAAATCTTAACTCAGTACCTCGCTTCTGCTTCTAGCTCAAAAAACGGAAAACAGTTATATAAATGCTCTCCAGGCACCTGTCCCAAACTTGAATCTTAAGGATCCTTCATATAACTTAAGGGTGAGTCTGGAGCAAATATCTGGAATCCCAGCATGAAACAGTCTCAGAACTTTGATAAAAAGATATGTATTATCACAGCAGCATGTACTTTATTTATTATCTGGAAAACAATGTGATAGAAATGTACATTTGTTCAAAAATATGTATAAATTATGATTATAAAGCAAATTATGATTATAAAGCAAATACATCTAAAAAATACTGTAAAATATTTAAAAATAAATATTCTCAGATTTACCTTTCTGTGCACTTGCTTTTTTTTTTTTTTAAAGAGGCATGTATTTTTATTTATTTATTTGTTTGTTTGTTTGCTTTATACATGCACTGGGTACAGTCAGAAGCGTGGGAGGGTGAGAGAATTCACCAGAGCCAGAGCGGGGAGCAGAGCAGGCAGAAGGACCGAAGTACACTGCTGAGGGGAGCAGTGGGAGGCAGGAGAGGTCTGCGCGCCATGTGGGACCCTCCTCCAGGGGCCGGGGAGCAGCCGGGGATCAAACCGGTGCCGCAGCGGGCAGCTTCGCAACCCAGCGCTCAACCGCTGCGCCACCGAGGAGGCCCTGCACTTGCTTTTTATTGAGTTAATTTTAATGATTTTAGTACAAATGTCTTTGTTACTGATTGATTTGTCTGCATAAATGTAACAGTCACTTTGGTTGTTGTGTGGATGGTACAAGGTATCATCAAATTGTTCCTGGGTTAATTTTTATGTTGAGAAATTAATCTTCTTGTGATCTCAACCTCTGCCCCATAAAAAGGTATGTGGAATTGGTAGTGAGGACTTAGACCACAATGCAATTTCAGGGTTAAATTATAAATGCTTTCATAAAAGCATGTGATGATAACATTAACTACCCCTGTAACAGAGAATAATTTCATGGAGATTATGAGCCATAAAAGATGCCACTGAGGGGCCTCCCTGGTGGCACAAGGGGTTAAGACGCAGACTCTGCATGATGAGTTCAATCCCCAGCCAGGGAGCTACCCACATGGTGCAGCAGACCTCTCCTGACTTGCCCGCTGCTCCCCTCAGCAGTGTATTTCAGTCAATCTGCCTGTTCTGTGTCTCACTCTGTCTCTGGTGAATCCTCTCACCGCCCACACCTCTGGCCTGTACCCATATATGTATGCATAAATCAATAAATCTTTAGGAAAAAAAAGATGCCACTGAGAACAGAATTTCAGACCTACAATGAATGGTAATGATTATACTATCTTACCCACGCTGAACAAATGAGAAAACATTAAATATTGTCCACCTCAACTACCCCCAGAACTGGACCCCGTCCCTGCTCCTTTTTCTAACCAGGGTATATTTAATAAACTGCATTTGAGTCCTGCCATACTTGGATAGTGCTGTCATTTTTCCAAGAATCAAATATGCTTTCTATATTACCAAATTATGAGACAAAATTGATTAGGATTTAGATCCAGATTTTCTGAGCTTTCTGTGATATTATCGTCTAATATAAGCTTTATTGTTCCTTTTAGTAAAAGCCTGTCATAATTTTACTATTTATTGCTTTACATTTTGTTAATGTAAGTAATTGTATTCAATGTCAGTGTAGCCTGTTAGGAAACCCATATGATCTGTACATAAATTTATCCTTATATTCTCTGTATTACTCTGTGACTCTGGTCATTCATTCATTTAGTAAGCAGGCATTGTAGCATATGAATTCAGTGAATTTCTCATAAGATTTAGGAGCCGAACACCTGAATGTTCGCTCATACAAGGCCGCAAAAGCAAAATTACAGTGACAAATGACAGATGACACCAACATATTATAGAATAAATTGTATGACATTGCAATATAGTACTTTTAAAATATAACTTTGATTTGATGTTCTATCTCTTTAATAGTATGTAAATGTCAATGCACATCCCTTTGGGGTTCAAATTTAATATCGGCTTCTAACTGATTCATAGGTGATTAGTGATTAAAGCAACGTACATGTTTTTTCTTGAATTGAAACACACAGACTTATATACAGACACAGTTTAATGAATAGTGTACTTCTCTTTTTTGGCTAGGATAGCCTCAGAGGAGAGCTGTCATTTGAGAGCTGAGCATATCAGTTGGTTGACAGTATGTGGTGTGTGTAACCTTACACAAGACCTGTCATCTGAGAAGAGAAAGGGTTAGTTCAGTCTTTCATTCTTTGATTAATCCCACTCTAGCCCTCAGAAGCGGTAGCTGATTACTAAGAATCCAACCCACATGTGGCTATATTAGCCAGGCAATTACAAAAAACAATAACTGACATTTTTTAAGCACTTCTGTGTGCTAGGCACTGACCTGAGTACCTTATGTACATTTAATCATGGAAAATTTATAAGATAGGTACAATTATTATCCTTGTTGTAAAAATAAAGCAGCAGACATATCGAGGTTACATAATTTGTTCAAGGTTATATTACTAGTAAGTGGCAGAATCAGGATTCATAGCCCAGGTTATCTGGACTAGAACTTCCATTCTTGACCTTACCATATGTTACCTCTGTGTTAAAGATCAGGTTGAATGTGGATTGCTTATTCCAATAGCTTGTCTTGCTTGGAGTTTTTATAGCAACTCTGCTATACCACAACATCTGATTTTACCAAGCTGCTTGAAACATTCAAATATACTAGTTCAGCATGTTTATCTGTTCATGTATTTTCACTTTGAAAGAGTCACCTTGTTTTTTGACAATGGAATGTGGGATTTATGGACTTAGTGGCTTCTGCTGTTCTTATTTATATCATTTAACTATGAATGTGATATTTTTATTTTTTCCTCAATCTCATTGAGATATTTAAAGAGGTGTAATATAATGTGCCTCTGAAAAAACTAACAGAGAGTGTGGCCTTATTTTTTATATTTGAAGCTCCAGAATGGGAGAAGTAGAGAACAAAGACTCATTGTGGAACAACTTCAAAGTAAGACTACTTTTCTTTGTGTTCATTCTTTATAAATTCGATAGTTCAGGTACAAAATACTGCAGTTTTAGAGCTGACCATTTCCTTTATCTACACATTCTAATTCAGTTCTCAAAAGAAAAACCAATTAAAACTGAAAAAAACATATTCACTGGCATTTTTAGTTATCTGTGGAATTAGCTTATTTGAATTTAAATGCCTCTTACTCCATCAACTTCATCATCTTGGCTATGTTTTTAAGAGATGTGACATTTATACCTGAAATGAAATTATATTAATCTAGGCATGCCAATGAGCTATGTTAAACTAGCAGGAATAAGTAAGGCTAATACAATCTTGTTTTATAGCCCATTTAATGAATCTGAATACTCTATAGATGATATCCTCTCATCCCCTAAGATGAAAAAAAGTACAACAAAAAACTAGTCATTTCAACACATATGATCTCTTCACTTAAAAATCAGCATTTGATCCCCTAACACTTTTTTTCTAAGAGCGTTTCTTTTGCTTCTCTTGAGTCCTTGAAGTGAGGGTTGAGACTTGGTCTCGCACTGCAGCGCAGGTGATTGTGCATCAGAACTCCAGAAGGCAAGGCTTGGTATGTAAGTAAGGAGGGCTCCTTCTTACCTGATAGGGTTGGAATTTGTCCTGTGTGCAGTGAGGACGGTGAACACTGTAAGCAGGACAGTGGCCTAACGAAGCCTTCTTTGTGCAGCAGACCCCTTGCCAAAATGTCATGACTTGGCCTACGTGCTCTCCATGTCTCAGTCCTGAAAACTGAGAGACATTTTTCCCAAATTAAGCAGATGGTGCAGCTCGCAGCTGCCATCCTCCTTAACATTTAGTTCTCCAGACAAAGCCAGTGATCAGGGAGTTAATTCCTAAAGTGACAGCATGTGTCTTAAAACCCTGGTGAGGTGGTCAAGATTAGCATTCTGAAAGCTACTTAAGAGGAACATGGGGGAGGAGGGGAAGAGGAACATAGGAGATCTGGTAGAAATGGGAAGGAGCTAGAAACAATCTGTGTTCTTTCCATTGCTCTCTCTGATGGCAGGTTTATCCTGAATCTTAGTTACACAAGTAAGATAAGTGAGGCTTAGAGGTTAAAAAATCCCCCTGACTTTTGGAAGGAACATGCCTAAGATCACAGAGCTTGTCAGTGATAGTGTTAGGTTTTAACCAACATTTTATGGCTTGGATACTGTTGGTTTTCCTTAGAAAACTGTTGGTGATCCTTAGAGCTACTTACTGGCTTTTGCTTAAAGTTGGTTTACTTACTAATAACAGAAAGATGCATTCTGATAACTTGGCCTAAGTCCAAGAAGTTTAAAACAGTCAAACCAAGTATTCATATAAGTTTGGACTTGCAAATAAATTTCAACTGAATGAGGATGATGACAACCACAACTTACTAAGCCCTTACAAAATACCTTGTAGAAATAGGCATAGCACATAGATTACTTTGTGTTTTTCTTATTCTGTTACCCCATGATTGCTAAAATACAAGTAAATAGTCTCTTAATTCCAAATGTCAGTGATAGCCACCATTTTATATACCTCAGCCCTTATTTTTAAGCATATACATGTGTAAGTATATGCTTCTAGCTTCTTTCTATTTTGGGGATGTTACAAGCATTCAGTAGATATCCTTGATGTTTTTGCTCACTTGCTCTATTATCTCCTTAGATAAACTTCTAGAAGCAGAATGTTGATTTAAAGCATAATGCCAGTTTTAAGACAGTTTCAAGTTATACAACATTAGAATTTGAAAGTTCTCATTTTCCCCAAACCTTACCAATACCAGCATTATTTTTCAGTTGCCCACTGGGTTCTACTGGGCTGGCAAATAGACAAACATCAGACAGAATGATAAGAGAAAAAGCCACCTAGAAGTTAATAAGAACATCTATACCTCCTGTACATGTGGGAAAGACCCAGCATGATTGAGTAACTCACCCATTAGGCTATAGACACGATTTTACATTGGAAAGATGGGGGGTTGGGAGAAGGGGTCATCAGGGTGCTTACTGGGGGGAAAACAAAGGTATTTGCTTCTGATTTCTCCACTGAAAAGAGATAGTGGGATTAGGGCTTCTTGAAATAGATACTTAGAGAGATGTTTCAATATTGACTTCAAAAGCAATCTCCACTCAGCCTTCAGCGATCCTCCCTAAAATCAAACTTCTGCCAAAAAGACACATATTTTGGGGTAGCAAATTTTTGCACCCCTATGGTAGATATTGGTATATTCATCTTTGAGATTAAAAAAATCCCCTTGATACTTCTGGAAGGAACTTGCCCAAGACCACAGAGCTCATTAGTGCTAGTGCTAGGTTTTAACCAACAATTTTATGGCTTACAAACTGTTGGTTTTTCCACCTCCCTGGGTTGGCAAACTCATTTTTATCTCACAAAATTGTCTTTAGGCTTATCTGTATTTGCAAGACTCACTGTACTACCCATCTTGCTCTTGACATTTTATTTTATGATCTCCCAATATCACTCGACTAAGAAAACATGGCCATCTGTTCCTGAAGGGGAAAATTCATGTAAACATTCTCTTCTCTGTGTCTAAGGCATTATCCAGTTGCCGCAAAGCTATTGGTAGTGTTGTGGGTGAAGTGGGAGGATTCTCCCTATCAGGCTAAAATCTTATCAGTCACGTGGTCCTCATCTGGAGTTCTGAGGGGCAAAGGAGAGTCTTCTTTCAGTTGCAATAAATTTCAACTGAATGAGGATGATGATAACCACAACTTACTAAGTAGTTTTTCTATATAACCCCATTTAGCATGAGAACTAGTGTTTTATTATCAGTTAGATTCTATTAGTATGAGATGGGAAACTTGGGAGCTGAGTAAAATAAGAGATAGTTGAAGGAAACAGCAGAAGTGAACCATTGTGATATAAAGAAACTCGGCCAGCATGAGTGAACTTAGTTCTTCAGCTTTGTAAATGATTTATCTGTCCTCTCCTCTCCCCTCCAGGAGAACCAGTGAAGAAATCTATTCAGGAATCAGGAGCATTTCTGTCTCAGGTGCCTCAGGTATAGAATAATTGATCTGATTTGCATTGTATTTTATTTATGTATGGAGAACACTGATGTTTAAAAATGCCTGTCCATTAAGAATCCTCTGTGACAAGAGCGTACTGAGCAGGCTCTTCCCCTGAGAGCTCTTCAACAGCCTTGGACATAGCAGAGAGGATTGCAGTAGTGAACTTTGGAGTGCATGGGAATTCCAGAGTGGCATTCTTAGGGAGTGATTGCTGACCACACAAATGGGCAGTGACAATGAACCTTGCCTTTTTTTGGATTGCTGCCCCTCTTTTCTGTAAAGAAAGGCAATAGACAGTCTCCTTCTGAACTGGGGTAGAAAGATATGGCTTGTGCCACCTCAGGTTACTGTGGTAACCATTTTTTTCTCCCTGTTTCAAATTATCATTCTGTAAAACTAAGGCATGTGTAGGAGACTAAAATTTTAATTAAAATGAATAGAAACTGAAAAAGCTTATTTGTCTTAAGCACATCACCATAATGGAGGAAAAATGTGTTACTAAAGGGAAGTCAGCCTTGATGTTATCAGGTTGTGTCTATTGAATGACTCACTTCTCAAAGAGATGTTTCAGAAAATCTAAAAGAACAGATGACATTTGGGTGGGAGCTTGCCGAAATAACAGCATCCAGAGTCTTTAACAATCCCTGCTTTTCTTTCTAGAATATACCAGAGGAGAGATACAGGATGCAGAGCAATCCCCTAGGCATCTGCCTTATCATCGACTGCATTGGCAATGACACAGGTTGGTGTGAATGACCCCACAGTGAGATCCTGGCACAAGCAAGCTCTTCATGAGTGATCTACATAGCTGCTGTAACAAACTACTGCAGGAATGTGTGGTTTATCACAATCAGGAAATAGTTTCTTGCTCATATCACAGTGTAGTGTGGATTTTTGTCCCATGTCGTCACTCGGTGACTTCATTGTCTGAGGCCTTGCAATATTCTGCAGGATCCTCTGTGTCAGACTAGTGGGTGAGAGAAATGCATGGAGAAAAGCACACAAGAGATTTTGGGGACCTGCCCTAAAAGTGCAGTTCTTCTCTACCCATCTTTCAATAGTCAGAACTCACTACTGCAGTCCCACCTGCTGCAGTGGACCAGCAACTTAGTCTGGCTGTGTCTGTCCTGCCTGTGCCGACATTGTTGGGATCTGAATCTGTTTTTCCTGTCTATTGTTGGATGTCTGACTCAAACTGAATTAATCACTGGTGGTGCATCAAAAGAGAATGAGAAGAACCTAAGTCAGTGGAATGACATTATGTTTAATTATTTATCTCTCTATTTTTTTTAAAAAAGGATTTTTTAAAAGGTTATTTCCCCAGCTTTCCAACTCAACATTCTCTTAGAATGAGTCAGAAGTATCTTTTAGACTCATTTGAAATGTTACCATGGTGGTTTATGGGAAGAGAATTTAAGAGAGGTCAAATTAGCAAATATTAGACTGAATTTCCTAGGATTTCAGATATGACCTCACTTTCTCATGTCCTATTTTTGGTTAGATGTGAGAAATGTCTCCTCAGCTATAGATAAGTGTTCCTTCTTTTTTAGTCAGGAGTATACTGTTTTGTGTTGGTCTCAGCCTATTTATATATCAAGACTGGCCCTTAGACTTCTTATTATGATTGCAAAATACCCTTCAGCAAAAAACATCAGGAGAGACACTAGGACCTGTCCCTTCAGTTAGGCACAAGAAGGGAGCAAACAATCAGGGTACTTTGAAAAAATAGAGGTTTATCACTTAGGTTATGGTGGCAGGCTGAGGGGCACCCAGGGCCCCTGAGCCTATCTGCTTTAAATGGGTTCTGCTATCCTCAATATAAAGACAGACATACTCTTAATGTGTAAGACTTTCAGTAGAAAAGAAGTTTAATACAATTAGCGTGCAATAGAGACAAGAGAAAGAATATAGTTAAAATAGTTTTCCCATGAGACACCCAAAGTTACCCATTCCCTTGTGGGTAAATGCCCAACCAAACAGGGTTGGCCCAAAGCAGGGCCATTGAGGCCCAAAAGCTTGGCAATAGTCTAAGGCACCTTTTGGTGGGGACCCATAGGAGAGAGGCAGAAAGGGCCAGGCAAGTCTGGAAGAAAAGGAGCAAAATCAAAATACAAGTCAAGATAAAGGCTGCCATTGTCAGTCTCCCTTACGGTCTCTCACCTACATCTCTTCAAGGGTCTCCTTCTGTGTTCCCCAATTTCAAGGCTGAGCAGCAAGCGCGACTTTTTCACATGTTTCTGCTCCACCTCCCTCCTCCAAATCTAGTCTTCTTGCTGTTCAGTTCCACCCTTCCTTGGGAGGAGCCTCCCCTTTTTAAGGATATCACACTGTTAAAATGACAAGACCTGGAAATTGCACAGCACACATGTGCAATAGTGGGTCATAGTGAGGTTGTAGGGAGAGAGAGAGAAATGAATGGAGAGAAGAGGGAGGGAGAAAGAAAAAGGGAGAGGGAGGGGTGCTCTGGGGTTCTATTTTTATTGGGACTGAGGGTGGGGGTGAGTCTTAGGGTTTCATGGGATCATTCTTTATTGGTGAATAAAAAATCATAAGAACTGAAATTTAAAGTGCAAGAAGAGAGACAAAGAAGGAAAAAGAAACAAAACAAGTCAGTCTCAGTTGACCAGTTCCCCAAAACAATCAATATGTATAAAACAAGCCCGACTGGGCAGAGGCAGGCTGATCTTGTGTTTGAGTTGGCTCTGTGAAGCAGATGCCCCTTTGATATGGCAGTCTGGGGCAATCAAAGCTTAAATTAGGCACTTGCTTTACTTTCAACTCTGTGAACTTACACGTGCCTATATAAAAATGAAAAAAATTTTTTCAATGGGTAACTTCCTGCTTTAAAAGAGGTTGTGTAATTACTCTCTATTTCCGGTTATAATCAATTCTGTTTCATTCATCACTATAAGGTTTCAACTGCAGGTGGTGCAGGATGTAATCTGCTGTAAGACGAGAAGCATGAGCATAATCCCATGACCTGTGAACTTGTGCCTGAAATGCAGTGTCTGCTTGCTTCCCTTGCTGACTTGTGTGCCTCTTACAGGCAGGGATGCAACATATATTGGTATTTTTCTGCCTTGTAGGAGCATGGTCAGAGTTGGACTCTAGACCATGAGGGTATGGGTGTGAATCACGGCTCTGCCACGTCCTCGATTATGGCTTGGGGTAGTTTCCTAGCCTCTCTCTGTGACTCAGCTTCTCTTCTATAAAACGGGTTATTATGAAAATGGGGACCTGTTTCATAGGATAATTGGAAGGAGTGATTCCATACTTGTAAAGGACTTAGAACAGTGCCTGGCACACTGTAAAGCACATACTAAATGCCAACTAGTATTATTATTATTTTTTACATTTTCTTTCATTTCATTTTTGTTTTTCATTTCATTTTATTTGTAACCCCCTAAGCAAGGACTCACCAGGGCTTGATACATGGGGCTCTGATCCCAGACAAGTGAGGGGCCAGAGAACTGGGCACCTGAGACCTATGCTGGGTGCAAGGGTGATGGGCAGCCTGTGTCTAACTGGAATGAAGGGGATAACCTGAGACATGTAACTACTGGGGAGATACCCAGGTGGAAAAATGGGTGGGCCACACCTTCCAGCCCTCAGTCTGAATGTGCTTGACAGAGAAGGAAACGCAATACAAAAGTCAGGGTGAGGAAGGACAGGTGAGGCAAAACCTGCTAGGAGAGGATGATGGGGAGGGTAGGACTGGAGGTGCACCGGACCTTCAGCCATGAACAGGTATAGGGCTTGGTGCATTGGTATACCTACCTCCTTGGCTCAGGCATTTCCTGCTTCTAGAAACAAAACAAATAACTGGGCTTGTGGTCACTTATATATTTCCCTGGCTCAGGTGACTGATTGACAGGTAAGAAATGAGACAGAGCCCTTTTACTCTCATTGTGTGGTGGATTCATGGGCAGAGGGTCCTGAATTCACTCTTACATCAGACTGAGACTGAGCAGCAGAACAATGTTAATCACTTTGAAGTGGAAGACATCATCTGGTCATCTCACACCCTCCCTCCAGGCCTTCTTTATTTTCCAACTCCCCTTTTGGTAGTTTTCACCAGGAACCCTGCTTTGCTGGATCACAGTCTATTTTTTTTTAAGATTTATTTTTTATTTATTTATGTATAATAGAACTGGGGTGTAGGCCAGAGGTGTGGGGGGTGTTGGTGGTGAGAGGATTCACCAGAGACAGAGTGGGGAGCAGAACAGGCAGATCTACTGGAATACACTGCTGAGGGGAGCAGCGGAGACAGGAGAGATCTGCTGTACCATGTGGGTCAGCTCCCTGGCTGGGGCTCGAACTGCTGCAGCGGCTGCGGATAGCTTCATAGTGCTGAAACTTAACCCCTGCGCCATTAGGGAGGTCCCAGATGATGCCCTTAATTATGTGTACACTTCATTTCTTCATTTCATCTGAGCAGCGTGAGGCATCTTATGAATACTTACGTGGGGTAAGGCATCTTATGCTTACATGGGGTTTCCTCTAGACAGAGGAAGTTAACTGCCTAGTTAATTTTGTCATTTGGTTATGTTGAACATTTGGGTGGAGTGGGATGATAAATATTATTGCTGACTGAAACAAGGGCTGTGAAAGAAACTAACAGTAATATAAGACTAACTTATGCTTTGTAAAATTTATTAAAAATCCACTGTATATATAGCAGGTTCTTTCATAAATCCTTTACATGAATTCTCACTTAATCTTCATAAATAATTATGTACATAAATAGTTGCACACTACTATCCCCGTTTTTTTTAATTTATCCCCATTTTTAAAGAAGATTTATTTATTTATGCATACAAGAACTGGGGTACAGTCCAGACAGAAGTGTGTGTGTGAGAGGATTCACCAGAGACAGAGTGGGGAACACAAAAAGCAGATCTACTGAAATACACTGCTGAGGGGAGCAGCGGGCGAGTCAGGAGAGGTCTGCTGCGCCATGTGGGTATCTCCCTGGCTGGGGATCGAACTTGTGCTGCAGTGGCTGGGGATAGCTGCATCTCAACCTCTGTGCCACCACGGAGGCCCTACTATCCCCATTTTCAAGGTGAATAAGCAGAACCCAGTGAACTTCCAGTAACTGTTTTCTAGTTCCTGATAGAGCTGGGATTTTTAAGCTTGACTCCAAAGCCTCTGTCTTGAGCTATTTTGCTGTATTGGAAGTTCTGTGAGGGCAGGAAACTTGCCCATCTCTTTTAATATATGCCTGGCATATGGTCCTATCAGAACAGTGCCTGGCATATCAAAGTTCAATAAATATTTGTTGGGTGAATGAATGAAGGACTAAGCTCTGCTGGTCTCAGTGTGTTTCTAAAACTGTTCCTTTGTATCTGTACAATCTGGCAGACTCTCATACCTACCTTCACCTGTCCTTAAAAAAATCAGACTTTTGTCCAAAGAGTGTGCAAGTCCCCCAAACATTTCTAGAGTTCTTTCTTTACCCAGTAAATGTTTTCTGAGCACTGGCTATATAAGTTAGGTGTGCTTGGCCCTGTGTGAAGCACATGTGGTTGGCAAGGGGAGTCTGGGCTCAGAGCCCTGCTGTGAACAAGATAAAGGTGGATTTTTGTTTTTGAAAGAATCCTTACAGAGCTCAGTAACCTATTCTGGAACAGGCATAGAGGCTTAAGAATTTGGGGTTAATTCTATCCCTGTACCTATATTACCAGGATACTTATTACAGCTTATTGATTTACTTATTGGAGCTCTATAATTTACTTTAATGCTTCATAGGGTAAGCTTATTATTCCTATTTTTCAGATTTCTCCTGAAAATTATCCACAAACCACTGATTGTTAAAAGATTATATTTTTTTTTTTTTTTTTTTTGTACTTTATATTTATTTATTTATTTATTTATTTTTTTATTTATTTTTTTTTTTTAAATATTAAATTTTATTTTTATATTCCCCATACAATTGCAAACGCCCCATTCTGACCCAATCCTTCCCCTCCCGCCCCCCACCCCCAAAAGTGTCTCTGGTTCATAGTTTTTTTGTTGATTTTGATTTTCACTTTCTTATATTCATTTTCCTGGTCCCTTATTTAAGTTTTCTAGATTCCTGCTATGAGTGAGACCATCCGGTATTTTTCTTTTTCTTTTTGGCTTATTTCGCTGAGCATGATCCCTTCCAGTGCCATCCATGTTGCTGCAAATTGCATGTGTTTATCTTTTTTGAATGCTGAGTAATATTCCATGGTATATATGTACCACATCTTCTTGATCCAGTCATCTATTTTTGGGCATTTGGGTTGTTTCCAAAGCTTAGCTATTGTAAACAGTGCTGCTATAAACATAGGAGTGCAGGTGCTCTTTGGAATTGATGTTTCTGTGTCCTTTGGGTAAATACCTAGGAGTGGAATTGCTGGATCATATGGAAGCTCTATGTTTAGTAGGTCCAGAAATCTCCACACAGCTCTCCATAGTGGTTGGACCAGTTTGCACTCCCACCAACAGTGCACAAGAGTTCCTTTTTCTCCACATCCTCGCCAACATTTGTTGTTGCTAGTTTTTTTAATATGTGCCATTCTCACTGGTGTGAGATGGTATCTCATGGTAGTTTTGATTTGCATTTCCCTGATTACAAGTGATGTTGAACATTTTTTCATATGTCTGTTGGCCATTTGCATTTCCTCTTCAGAGAAGTTTAAAAGATTATATTTTTTATGTAATATTTATTCTCAACCAGCAGTAAGTCTTCACATTTATTCAAGATTTCTTTACTTGAAAAGACTACTTATTTGATGACTTTATGTAAATTTTTAATTTTTCCCCATAGATCATTAACATTTATTGCTATTTTCCTAGATTGTGTGTTTGTATGATGGAGTTGTGTGTGAAGTGAATATTTCTGTAGTTAATGGATATTTTCTGTTCTATCATTTTGTTCCATTTACTGCTATTGTTAGTGGCTGGGTATTTTAAATAAATTGTTTGTTTGTTTTTCTTTAAAAAAAAAGAATTTGGGGTTAAATAATGTCAGCTTGGTAGAATTAAGAAGTCAGTCATTAGGGTTGTGCTGTTTGTCAGTAACCTAACAATGCCTTTGTCAGCCCATGTTCTCAGGACCTGGCAAAGCACTGGACCTTTGATCTTGTTAGGGATGGAAAAGGAAATGTCTCACATCCCAGACAGATGGACCCGGAGACTTAACCTAAAGCACTGCATAATTTTAGGCTCCTCAATAAAAAATAATTTGCCCATTTCTTGCTTGCTTTTGTGGAAAAGTTTGAAAAAATTTCCATACTTTTTAACCATACTAAGACTTAAATTTTTCTAGCAGAAACTGCAAATTTTCTGGAACAGAATAGTTAATACAAAAGGAATTACTAGTAATCATTTATGGTTTCAAAAATGGTTTATCATCTCAAGTGTATATTAAACCCTCTTGATGAGTCTGTCTCAACAAATGAAAAGTCAGATTTATAGCAGATTGTCCCCCCAGCCCACGTCCTCACTCACGCATTCTTAATTCTTCACCTCTTTCTCCTATCTGGTGACCTTTCTTTTGTCCTGTTTTGGGGACCCCAGCTTAAATTATACCTTTCCCAAAGTCTCATCTCCAGGTGTCTGGGAACACACCCACCTGCCCTTCTCCTACCACCTGTCTTGCCTCTGGTTCGCTGTACTGGGCGATATGTCTATCACTGTTTCATGCACATTTACAAACTTTGCTTCCCCAACAAGATAATAAGCTCCTTGAAGGACAGGAATATATACTGCATCTGTATTCCCTTGTTACAGTGTTTCTATAACACAGGAAGGGGAACATTGCAAAACATGGATTTTAGGGTCAAATAAATTCTAGAAATGCTGAATAATTTGTTCCTCTTTCAGACAGTTGCACTGCATGTTGGTCTTAAGTCTCTGAGGAAATCTATTTTTGTCTTGTCCACTTTACATTTCCTATTCATGTTTGACCTCAGAAATCCCCTTTCCCAAGAATATCCTGTCAGACTGCTGTTCCACTTGTGTGTGCGCTCTGGGAACTAGAGCTGGGCTTATCAAAGGCCTTCAGTGGTGACTGTAAATGGGCTGATGAAGCCTCCCTTCTGTCATATGTATTCCACATATTTACTCCCCTTCCCCCTTTCATAGGCAGTGATAAATGTGCACTAGCAACGGGGAGCACTGACTCTAGTTCTTCATGAATTTTCTTGTGCTGACTGCTAGCCCAGAAGAACACCCCTCTCATTTGGGGATGTTGATTTTTAAAAGAACAGCTGACGTTTACAGAGCTCGGTCTGGGATGGGAGTGGGGTTTCCAAGGTAGGTAAAGGAGAAGTGCAGTTCATTGCAGGCTTATTTTCTTAACTGCAGACTTCTGCAGTTCATTGCAGGCTTATTTTCTTAACTCAGCACCCAAGTTTTTCTTTCCCAGTTTGCGGGAAAGGACAAGACAATGACTGATACACATGACACGGAATTTGCCTTCTTTGAGCCCATTTTAGTTACTGAGATAGAATCCTCCTTCTGGATTCTAAGGAGATGGACGCCATGAGAGAGGCACACTGCAGGCTCGGTGATGTGAGGCTTGAAGTGGCCGCCATTGTTTTCTTTAAAATTCTCATCTTATATTTGAAGAAGTGCTCATCGTTTGCAAAGCATCTTTACAATCTCACTAGATCCTGTCAGAAGTTCAGAAATAGCAGAAGCAAAAATAATGTCATTGAAGTAGTAGTAATAAGTTAAAGCTTGTTGTGCACATACTTAAACAGTTCTTGAACCCAGAGCATTTAAACCAAGTGTTACTGGGCAGAGGTGAGGGTCACCTCAGAACCCCCAAATCTGCATGCTCTAAATAGGTTTTGCCGTCTGCTGCATCAAGACAAAACATCACTCTGGTATGTTAAGACTTTAATGGAAAGGAACTTTAATACAATTAGTGTATTAAATATTATACTAATTGGCTTAATAAATAAAGAGAAGAGAAAGAAGAAAGTTTTTAAATCAGGCACCCAAAGTTACCCATGCCCTCATGAGTAGCTGCCCAGCCAAACAGGGTAGGCCCAAAGCAGGGTCACTGAGGCCCGAAAACTTGCCACAAGCCTAAGGTACCTTCTGATGGGGGCCCACAGGAAAGAGGCAGAAGTGCCCAGGACATCTGGAATGAAAGGAGCAACATCAATATCAAGATAAAGGCTGCCATTGTTAACCTCCCCATAGGTATCTCACTCATGCCTGTTTCAAGTATTTCATTACATGTTCCCCAAGTCCCTGGTACAAGTCCAAGGCCAAGAAGCAAGCACAGCTTCTTCACATGTCTCTCTGCTCCATGTGCCTCCTCCAGGTCTCCTGGCTCTCCATCCTGGTTCCTTCTCCCATTGTCCTGTCCTGTCCAGCTTCTCCTCTTCCCTGCTCAGCTCCACCCTTCCCTGGGTGGAGCAGGGAACCCGGAATCTCCTCTTTGCTTGGGGACCACCCAGATATGCAAGCATGGAGTGAGGCTTAGACATGCATTGTTATCAAGCAATTTATAGAGTGAGGAGCCAGAGACTGTCTCTGAAACTCTTATTGAATAAATGATAGGGAATTGGTCAGTGGTTACCACCTGTTAATTATAGGGAACAGTTTCAAGCTTTGCTTATGATTTTCAGAGGCATAAGCAAGAAGCCAGCCAGTCAGCTTAGTCTCATTTTTCTTGCAAAATAAGCTAAATTAAGCTTGGCTTGTATGACCAAACTGTGTCCAAGGTATTTTATTTTATTTTATTTTAACATTTTTTTTATTTTTATATCCCCATACAATTGCAACCCCCTTATTTTGACCCCAGTCATGTCCAAGGTATTTTAAATCTGGCCACCATTTGTGTTTTATTTTAACAATCCTCACAGTCACTTTTGCAACACATGGTGTAGTCATTAGTATTAAACCCATTTTGTAGATGAATAAACCAGGGCTGGTAACTTGTTCAAATTGTACTATCACTATACCTTGATCCTAGAAATTAGACTGAGCTACAACTGTGTTCTTGCTGGCCCAAGAAAGTAAGTTGCAGATGCCAGTCAGTGTCGATACCCATTTCACTGCACTGTCTGACTGAGGAAAGATGGGATGTTAATGGGAAATATCAGCGCAATGATGTGTCTTGAGTGACTGGGTTACCAGAGGGCTATGTATGGGGCTGAGGCCCATCCAGATGTGGTCTTATTTTTGGCACCGCCAAATGGTTTTTGATTTTATCTCCAGCTTCAGTTTTTTTTTTCCCTCCTGTCCTGTTAAGTAAGGACTTGCTGCCCCAGACCTTGGGTTCCCATTCTTAGCCCCTCTGCCGCCATAAATTAGTCCTTTTTCAGTGCTAGGCAAGGTTCCGACCCAGCGAGTAGGCAGAGAAGCCAGGAAGACATGGACAGCATTTGTTCTGTCCCCTAACCCCTGCATGAAGAAGGACACTGTGCTTCTTTCAAGGACTTTGACAGGGAGATATCTATGACTTAGGGAGCCTTTGGAGGAAGTGAACCAGTCTGAGATAACAAGTAAATAAAAGAACTTTGAGACCAGTGTATCCCTGTCCGCTTCTGCCCCTAGAGGAGAGAATGCTCCATGACTAGAGACTTGTGACACAAAAGGAAGAGTTTGGAATAAAACAGTATTGATGGAACTGGGGTCCTCAGCCAGGTTCTCTCATTGTATTGATCTGTGTTTCAACCCAAGAGTCGACAGGGGCACAGAAACCTTGCCTCCACTCTCAGAGGCCATGCCTGGGGGTATTGCTTTTGGGTCTTTTCTGCCACATTGATCTGAGAAGACAGGTGAGTTACCATGTTTAGTAGGTTAGCGGCAACCTGTGACATGCCCCTCATTTCCCTGATATTACTTACTTTTCACTGGATTTTAAGGAGATTGAGACCTTATTCATATTTCTAAATTATTATGTGATTCATAATTAAAAAATTTCTTAACCCTTACCTGTGGGCCAGGATAAAGCAAGGAAGAGTCTCTCAGGAAGTTGTATTAGATGTCAGCCAGGGTCTTCTGACTGGAGGATCTTCTTGGGTAGCCTGGAAGTTGGAGTGAGACCTCACTGCTTCATGTTGGACTACACATCCCATTCATTAGAAACGCTTTTACCAAATGCAGTTAGCAAGTGACGTCCACATTGAAGAGGAGGAGAATCATACTCTTATTTTAAGGGAAGAGGTGTCACAGTCTCTTGGGCTAGTCTTTTGGGCCTCCCTGGTGGAGCAAGGGGTTAAGCACAGCACTGTGAAGCTATCCGTAGTCTCTGCACCACAAGTTCAGTCCCCCAGGGAGCCATCCATATGGCATAGCAGACCTCTCCTGTCTCGCCTGCTGCTCCCTTCAGCAGTGTATTTCAGTCAGTCTGCCTGTTCTGTTCCCCACTCTGTCTCTGGTGAATCCTCTCACCCCCTGCACCTCTGGCCTGTATACCAGTTCTTGTATGCATAAATAAATAAATCTTTAAACAAAGAAATAAGCCCAGTATCCTGAGGGGACCATTCTGCTAGACCCCAGTGAGGGTGTACAGATAATTGCTCACAGGCTGAATGAATTAACTTCAACCCAGTTTTTGTTTATCTAGTGACTGGTTAGTTCAGTCTTTTGTTGACCCAAGGCAGTGTCTCTTTTCCTAATTCATATTTTTCCTATTTCCTGCTGAGAAGACAGAGAATTTACAAATGCTTACCTTCACTTTTGTAATTTGTAGTTGACAAGTTTGCAGGGTAAGAGGTTGAAACTATTGGTTGAAGCCATGAGTCTTTGAAGTATCTGTGACTAGCTAGACTTTATATTGATCCCACTTAGGGTAGAGAATTGAGAACTCAATTCTCAGTTGAGAACTCAATTGAGAACTCAATGATTATGACATAGCCCTAGTTATTTATGTTTCCTCCATCCTTTTCTATGATGCCTCAACTAGTATGACATGGGGCCCTTATTCCTTGGTGGAAGTTGTTCTAATTAGTATGCGTTGTTTGTTTGGGGTAAATGAAGTGGTAACTTTCTGGAAGACCCACCAAGGGGAGGAAGACAGGTAACTAATAGTTTGGGTGACAACCTGGATTGGGCGATGCTTGGTTAGCCTCTGGGTTTAGGACAGAACCATTTTTCTGCATGGGGGATGTATTAAGAACTGGGGGTATCCCTCAGACACGGAACAGAAACTTAATGGGTGGCTTAAAAGGCAATGGAATTTTTGAATGAAGAAGAGAAAGAACGTTCTTTGTTCGTAACAGGAGGCTGTGTTTATTTCTCCAACAAAGAAACAGATGAGAAACAAGGGGGCTGGGTATGATATCGAGGGCTCCAAAGTCAAGACACTTCTGAAAATAGACAAAAAGATGTGTAAAAAAGGGCCTAGGAACTAATTGTTTTTGAACACCAGGAGCTTTATTTGTATTATTTATCCTTGTAGCATTCTCATAGGGTGGGTATCATCACTTCCATTTGAAACTGAGAGACCCACTTCCTCAAGGTCATGCAGCCCGTAGGCGTGGTAAGGTCAGTGATAGAAGGCAGGCTCTTGTGGCATAATGTTTGCTTTTTCCACTACTTCAGACTGTTTCTGGAGGCAAAGTCATCCAGGATTCTTGGAAGCCAGGAGAAAATTTGGGATAGGGAGTACCATAGGGAATCTGTCAAGGACTCTCCCTTCTTGGGGAGAGGTTACAAGGGAAAGTCATGAGAGGAACTAGGGAGTCTTGAAATTGTCACAATTTAGGTTGGTCTAGAAGGGGCTTCAGCCTGTGCCTGTGGCCAGAGGTGGTGACCTCAGGCAGGGAAGAGAGTGTGGCAGGGACAGACCATTACTGTGCCTTAACTATGGCGCAAAAGCAGAAACAGACAGAATAGATTAGATTGGGCTTCATAGCGCTCCCCGCTGTCTCTTGAGCTTTTCTCACTCTGTCGTTTTCCGTGTTTGTTTTTTTCCAGAGGTTCTTCGGGACACCTTCGCTTCCCTGGGCTATCAAGTCCAGTATTTCCTCTATCAAAGTGTGAGAAACATAATCCAAATCCTCCACAAAGTTGCCCGTATGCCGCAACACCAGTACTACGACAGCTTCGTGTGTGTGCTGGTGAGCCGAGGGTGCTCCCAGAGCGTGTTTGGAGTGGATGACGCTCACTCGGGGTTCTCTTTGGAGCAGATCAGGAGGATGTTCATGGGACGCATGTCCTTCCCTCTTAGGGAAGCCAAAACTCTTTTTTATTCAGAACTACGTGGTTTCAGAGAGGCAGCAGGAGGACAACAGCCTCCTGGAAGTGGACAGCCCAGCAGTGAATAATGCAGAAGCCACGGACAGGCAGCCCGGGCCATGCACAGTTCACCGGGAAGCTGACTTCTTCTGGAGCCTGTGCAGAGCGGACGTGTTCCTGCTGGAGCGGGCCTCCACCGCGTCCTCGGTGTACCTGCAGTACCTCTCCCAGAAACTGGGGCAAGAAAGGTGAGCCACTGAGGCCATGGCTGATCCCTGGGTCACAGGTTTCCTGCTTCCCAGATAGCATTTAATCACTGTGCCGTTCTTCAGGGAGGAAAGGGGATCTTCCATTCCTTGTGGGGGTTCCCTTAGGGTGTGATCTAGACTTGCAAATTTATGAACACTTTTTCCTCAGGAGGTCACATATTAGCTTGTAGTTTAGGTATTTTTCTTTAAAATTATGAAATTTTTTTTTTCCTTATTACAAAAACAATACATAGCCCTTGTTGGGAAAAGCCACGAAATACAGAAGCTGAAAGCAGAACATAACAAGCAGTTAGAATCTTATTCATTAGAATCCACCACTGTTAATCAAATGGTGTTTTGCTTTCCAGAACTTTTTTGGATATACCGCTACATACATACATACATTTATAAAATACTTACAGTGCACATAAGTACATAACCATATGTAAATGTATTTCATGTCAAAATGGAATCATCTATTATTATCACCTGCTTTAGTCATTGGACAGTTTATTGCTTTCACAAATAAAAGGCATTCACCATTTTTTTAGCTTAGTATTTGTGTTTGTTTTCTTGAAAACTATTCTCAGAGGTGGAATCACGATGTCAAACGACATGCATTTTAAAAATCCTTGATGCATCTTCTCAGATTGTTCTTTAGGACACTTGCAACAGTTTTGTGTGACAGTGCCTGGGTCCCCAGATTCTCACCCACAATGTCTACTTTTTTATCTCCCCAAGTCTTAACAGATTGATAAGTGAAACACGTTACCTGACTATTCAGGACTATAAATCTTTGTTATGTAGACATTTTGATGTTTATTGGGAAGGATATTTTTCAAAGGACAACATTTGTGACTGGGTCCACTTAAGCAGAATGAGGCCACAATGTACCTCCAATGTAAGGTTAGCAGTCCTTTTCAGTTGCTCCTTAATTGCAATTGAGAATGAGATTTCTGAGCCACCTGGCAAATGTATTCTATTGTAGCTGTGAGGACCCTGGGAATTAATCTCACGGTCCCAGACCCCCAGTGGTTACTGAGGCATGAGGGAGGGCTGGAGCAGCAGAGATTCAGCCTTCCTAGGTACATGCTTTGTGGACGAGTGGTATTATCGACCTTTTACATCCATCCTGCATTTGCTTGAGTGATCCAGGTGGGTCAATGACTGGTGTGTTCCCAGAGTAAAACCAGTTACCGGTTGGGGGAGGCGACTGTCATCACTGTACCACAGTGATCCAATTCAAATCATTAAGCAGCCTGAAGAGTATTTAGAAAAGAACAATCTTAAAACTCTTTCAAGTCTGTTGATGCATATCACTCTAATGACTGTCTATCTTCTCTTTGATATTTGCATGGCATTAATTTATGCCTTCCTTGTTCCCGCCAGCAAACGCCCTCTCCTGGATCTCCATCTTGAACTGAATGACCGCGTGTATGATTGGAACAGCAGAGTGTCTGCTAAGGAGAAGTACTGTGTTTGGCTGCAACACACTCTGAGAAAGAAACTCATTCTTTCTTACAAATGAAATACTGAAAGCTCTCTTAAGCCCTGCTCTGCCCCTCAGTCTCCATCACTTGTCAGAGTAGCCTGCAAGCAAGTGTGCATAAGTGATGAATGTGAGGCGAGGTCCTGGTCCATGCTGAAAAAGACCCTTGGGGAAGAATGCTTGGCTGGAAAGGTGTCTGAGCTTCGAAGATGAGGTATTGATCTCTATTGTGAAACAATGTTTGCATGAAACAGCTCACTAGGTCAATGAGGGAAAGAAAAAGACTTGGAAACTTTAAAAACCTAGCACTGGTTGAATTGAGCATCTCAGGAACATGTTGCCTTCCATGGTAAAGGTCAAGCAAACAGCTACAGAAAGGCTCATTCAGAGTGTCTGCAATCTCAAAGTAACCTGTGGGAATCCATGCTCCATACAGAAAAGAAAAACCAAAATACAAAGCAATGAAATTAGAATTTAACAAACCCCATAATATTTATCAGAGGCAGCCACAGTTACCCAAAACTTTGGTGTATTGCTTGCCTAAAGTTTTCTTTCAGTTTTCACATTTGTATTGGGTGCCATAGGAGAGAAACCCTCTGCCCTGTTGGTGGAGGTGCTCACACTGTTTCTTTGGTCATGTCAAGCTTGGGCCCTGGGGCTCGGGGAGTATCTGGCAACATTGGACATGTCCCTGGCATCTCCGTGGGACACGGGTGTGCTTTGCTTGTTTTTGGTGGTTGCTTTGTGTAGGGGTTGAGAGGAGGCAGAATTATAGGCACCTAGTCCCTCATTGGTGAGGGACTGAACCAGCACCAGCTCATTGGTCCAGCCATTCTTGAGGAAGGCAGTGAGTCTGGCTGCCATCTTGGTCTCAGCAGCCTGCAATTTTTTTTTCCATACACAATATCTAGATGTAAGACAGCATGACTGTCTTAGTTTAGGCTGCTAATAACAAATTGTCACGGAATGTATGGCTGAAACATTTATTTCTCACTGTTCTAGAGACTGAATTCCAAGATAAAGATGTTGGCAAATATGGTGTCTGGTGAGACTCTGCTTCTAAGTTTGCAGACAATCACCTTCTGCTTCCGTCCTCGCAGCGAGCAGAGAGAAAAAGGAAGCAAGTTCTTTTCTGTCTCTTTCTCTAAGGCCACTAATCCCGCTCATGAGGGCTGCACTCTCATGACCTTTACCTCCCAAAGGCCCTACTTCCTTGGTGATTAGGATTTCAACCTTTGCATTTAGAATGGGACAAAGCATTTGATCCAGAATGCTGGCAAAGCCCTCTGTCAGAATGGGACTCTAGGTAGTGCGCTGTGGATTCTGCCTAAAACTCAGATTTAACTTTTAATTTTTTTAAAGATCTCAAGTTGTTCAGTGTTCTTCAGTGCACAGCAACCTTGAAAGTGCCCTCTGTCATTGCTCTTCACTTTGTATTTCCTTTTACTCTTCAACCTGTTGCCTGTAGCCTCTTTTCCCAGCATTTGTGTGGGCTAGCACTATAGAATTTTGATGTAGCTCCTCAAATAGGCATACATTCAACTTATAAATGAGTTTTGTAAACTTGTGTTTTTCACTTATGTAAATACATGCTATAAAAACAAAATACCAGTCCTTAACACTGGTAGCTTGTCCATTCATCTTGGACTTAATGGTATTTTATTGTTAGTCAGGTACACTGCATACTTGTTTCTTTCTTGGATGGGATGACACGTCCTAAAAAAGAAAATGCTGTTTTAAAATCTCACTTGAAGGCTTTTT